GCAGGCTTGGTGGGAGGCTTCCTGAAACCAAATCAAAGATCTTCTCATTCTTATTAAAGCTCCATGCCGTGCCCACACAGGGAGTACTTTTCCCCTGTATACATATGTGATGTGCAAGTGAGACACACAGGCTTAACAGTTCTGCCAGGGTAGCAGGGGCGTAGCGGGGTGGGGTTAAATCTGGACACAACTTCTCTTTTTGAGTCTTGTCAGGTTGAAAGACAGCCTTTGTTCTGGTTTGAAGTTCCTTTTGTGCTGTGCTCTGATGCTTCCCCTCTTCCTCCACAGCTATGCATGCCCAAAGGGCTGTCTTTTAGGACACAGAGCGACAATAAAGACCCTCAGTTCCACTCGTTTATAATTACTCGGGAAGATGGCTCTCGAACCTATGGCTTTGTCCTCACTTTCTATGAAGAAGTTACAAGCAAGCAGATCTGCACAGCAATGCAGACTCTGTACCAGATGCACAACGCGGAGCACTGCAGCAGCGTTTGCGCCTCCTCCTCCTGCAGCATGGACTCACTGGCGAGCAGTGCTGATGAGGCTGACTCCACCTCCCTTCTGAAACTCCAGCGGTACAACTCTTATGATATCAACAGAGACACTCTGTATGTTTCGAAAAGTATCTGCCTTATCACCCCACTCCCCTTCATGCAGGCCTGCAAAAAGTTCCTCATCCAGCTTCACAAAGCAGTTACCTCACAGCAGCCGCCACCCTTGCCCCTGGAAAGCTACATCCATAATATTCTGTATGAAGTACCCCTTCCGCCTCCGGGGCGGTCACTGAAGTTTTACGGCGTTTATGAACCTGTCATCTGCCAGAGGCCTGGGCCCAGTGAACTCCCCCTCTCTGACTACCCTCTTCGAGAGGCCTTTGAGCTCCTGGGACTGGAGAATCTGGTGCAGGTGTTCACCTGTGTTCTGTTAGAAATGCAGATCCTTCTATACTCACAAGGTGGGTGTTCTTTGCCCTTCATTTTTTAAAAACAGGTACCTGTGCCCTCAACTACTGTGTTACCTTGAGTTATATTATTAGAACCAAATAATGAATATTCAGGAGTCTTTTGTTTCCCATCGAAGGAGCAGGTATGAATGAGACTAATGGCTGCAGTGTAGCTTTTCTTTGTGGCCACAGCAGCTATGGAGAGAAACAGCAAAGAGTATAAAAAGTATTACCCTGAAAGATTTTGTTGTATTTATTTTTTTAATAAAAAATGGCCTTTTTTCTGTCAATTCATAGTCATCATTAAAGAAACATTCTTTCTTTTCATAATGAGAGCGGGAAATGAGAGGGAACCTGTAGTCTTCCCACTCTTCACAAATCAGTAAAGGTGCCTAGGAAAACTCGGCTACACTGAGAAGAGGAAGTGACAGCACTGACGCTGGCCTTTTTAGCATCGCACTCACACGCAGGAGGAAGAGGTGTACAGGGGGACAGTGTGACTTTCCCAGTTCACAGTGAACTCAAATTGTGTCTGTGGCCTTGGGTGTTTTGTTTTAAGACATAGAAGAGAGAAGTTATCTTTATGATAATTATTTATTCAAAATTCTCCAAACACACACTTTAAAAATATCAAACTGGGCTCAGTGGTAGAACATTTGCCTTGCACACGAAAGGCCCTGGGTTCAATTACCCCCGCCTTTGAAAAAAAGGAAAAGAAAGAAACTAACAGATGTAGGACTTTTTTAACCACTACATTTGCAGTAACTAATGTTGATCCTAGACTAAGATACCAGTTCCCATCTGAGAATGAATTTACAGAAGAAATAGAGATGTGTAGTGAGGAAATTATCAATTCTAAATTATCATGGGTAGTGAGGAAATTATAAAATGGAATCTGTGGATGGATCCTTTGGAAAATGTGACATTTGGGTTAAGATTTTACTAATTTAAATTTGTGTTTAGTCTGGCAGAGTGAGTTGTAGTGCAATCTCCCAACTGCTGCTGTCAAGCTTATTTTACACTGCTGTTGTTTTTATTTTTCTATTTTAAATTATAAATGAGGCTGAGCCAAGTAGGCTATATTTGTACTCCCCATCTTGTGTGTGTGTTGACACTATTTGTGTGTTGACAGCCCATCATGAGGTTGTGCTTTCTCTCAGTTGTGCTACAGGATGTTCTTTGATGGTGTATTCCAATGTCTCGGTGTTG